AATGCATCTACTGAGAAATTGTTCTGAATTGATATCTCAAAGTTGGTGTTTCAGTATCAAATTCTGACTGGTTAGCTTTTCCTCCTCCTTATCTCTTGCAGTCAATACTCAAAGCAGCCAATAAGCTCGTATTCATGATTACAGAAAACCAGTACATGGGAGGTCTTGAAGGTTCTATTCCAGTTTTGGTTCAAGCTGTAAGCCATAACGATTCTCATACATGTGAAGCATCAACTGCTGCAACAGGAGATGGATGACCTGACTAACACTTGCATCTATATTTCAGCTCAACTGGATGGAAACTGCTGAAGAGATTGATGATCTATTTTTAGGTGATGCAGAGGTATGAACTTCACAACATACAACGCAGTGCCACTAAGTTGATTACCTATCAATTAATGGCTAAAAGATTAGAATAGAAGGCCATTTCTTCAAGTAGCAGAAAATTTTACTTTCCTTGTAAAAACCTGAATTAGGGAAGCATAATTGGGGAATAATATCACCTGGACAATAAGCAGTGATCTATACCATGGTAGAAAGCATGCATTCTATTTACTAATCTCAGTACCTTCTGATGTAATCCAATGAGAAATTTTGGTTCTCAATTATGTTCCTGCCTAAGGAGGATCGTTGCTGCAAACAGTTTTAGGCTATACCAAACAGGCTCTCTTAACTCTCAATACTTTCTGATGAAATGATTTTTATTGAACCCTTCCTAGATGAAACAACAGCTGATTTGAACAAACTAAATCATGCAATAAGGGTTCTTGAAATATGGAGTTGTGATTAGTAGCTTCATTCATACTGTAATGCCCAACTATCACCTTCCTTCTTTTGCTTGGCATTCAAAGGTATGGAGGAGATCATCGATAGGACAAGCTGGTCCAATGGGGGGCGATTTCCCTTTCATTACAAGAGAAGGTCACAACGTTCTTGATGTCATCTTCACATCTCCAATACAAAGTCTTGGTAGGTCTATAATCATGAGTTCTTCTCATTCTAATCTCTGTCCATGCATTGAGTTACTCTTTTCCACGACCGCACACTAATCCTAATCTGCAGCTGAAGTAGCTGAAAGTCTTGATAAAGTTGATGGCGTTGTTGATCATGGAGTTATTTCCAAGTTCCCGTTAGTTCTCTTCTTGTCTCCCTCCAAACTCTTACCTGTTTCCTTATATTTGTTTTCTTGTGTACAAGGTTGTAACAACGCAGTTTAAAGCAAAATCATGCCAATTTTTTCACAGCGTCCACTGTGGAAGAGTAGATCTGTCTTATTAAACCTGGCCCGGCCTGGTGAGTCAACTTGATGACCCGCCGACCTAGGCTACGCTTCAAATTAAATTGGATGGGAATAGACCTGGCATGCCCAATTAATCCAATCAAAACCTGATTTGACGTTCCTCCAAACCATCTTTGTTTTAACTTATTAAAAAATAAAAATTAAAAACGAAGTTTTGATTTGGCTCGGGTCAAATCAGATTAACATGCCCGGCATGTAATTGATGCCTTGGTCAGGGTATAATAACTTTGGGGTGGACTACATCACATTTTTTTAACTTCTCATGTACAAACCTTTGTTTTTATGGTTGCTTTCCTCAAACATGTGTTTTCAA